TTAATTTAACGTTCCGAATGTTAGCGTTAACATTCTGAATGTTAGTGCTAACATTCCGGACATTAGGGACGTACGTGTAAGTAGCATTTGTACTGTACCCGTTGGTGGCACGCCCAGCAGCTGTTCAGCGTCTTGCAAGATGCAACTGAGATTGGTCTTTTGGATGGATCCTAGTACAAAGCTGTGTAGAAAATCCTGTAGAAAATTGTGGATCAAGGTACTTGCCTTGCCATTTTGGTCAAAATAGAAGGGTTTTGATTCAGCGTTCAAAAATGTACCGTGTCCTAGTGTCTTCACCTTTACCTGCCTCCAGCACGCTAGAACTGTTCTTTTCATTCATTCTAAAAAATACGGTTGGGAGCAACCGACCATGGGAATCAGCCTTTAGAGCACTTTAACTCACTCTTTCTTACTGTACTTGGTATCATTCGATAGCTCTCTTCAATTGTCGATTGAACAAGCCCTGAACCATAGAAAAGGACCCAGTACAAGTACTGTTTTAGTGTGTTACAGTGTAGCTTCTTTTTTTTCACGACGAGACTGCTTCTTCCGACGTCGGCAGTATGAGCAACAATCCAGCAGATAGGATGAATACACAGGAGAGAGAAGCCGTGGATGGTCTTCTACAACTGAATAGATCTCTAGGAGGCCATGCTGATGCATTACTCTCCTCAGATGATTCATCTGAAGAGGATTTTCATCAAGAGGAAGCTGTTGTCCCCCCTGCTCCTGATCCTCCCCCCCCTCCTCCTCCAGCCGCGCCCCCACCACCACCACCTCCTGCTCCACCAATACAACCCGCAGCATCTCATCCTTTGTTCGAGACAGTACATGCTACACTGGCCAAGAGGAAGTACCTTTCACTGAAAGAAAAGAAAGATTTGCTGGTTCGGATTAGGGACAAGCTCAACCAAGACCTCATCAAAGCTGTCTTTCCTGGGGGGGACGCGTTGTCCCATGAGATGCAGAGGGTGTATCATGATGTAACCGTGACAGGAAGCACTCAGTACATGATCAAGAAACACTGGAGCCTGGCCTATTCAGCTACATTGCTTGCCAAATTCTTTACAGCGATGGAGATCAGGAAGGAGAGGAGTGACCAACAGAAAAGACCAAGCAGAAGGACTTGTGCAGCTGCAGACGTGCTTGAGGATGTTGCCGAAGCAGTAAAGGAGGCAATGAAAGCAGAAGAAACCAGCAACAGACTGAAAGGATCCAAGCACAAGAAAGGCAAGGTCTACTGGCAGAAGGGAGC